GATTATGCGGAGTGGGCAATCTTGTTTGTGGATCTTAGGTAAACCGTATGCTCTTGGTAGTGTGCCATCTGTACAATTGAGTCTTTTATAAATCGAATTGTCGATGTAATTCGATTTCTTCCATTCTACTAATAAACTATGTAGATTACTGATTAGTTTTTTAGTAGGATCTTTCTTAATTGTAATGTATGTGTTCTTGTCATTAAGTAATGTCTCCATTTTTTCTATGTACATGTCTTTCTCTATTGCAATAGTAGTATGGCCTTTGTCAGCTCTGGTGATAATTATTTCGGGGTGTTCACGTAGGAATATCTTTGTGATAGTTCAAAGACAAAATTGTGACAGTTTTTTGTGACAGTTCAAAGACAAAATTGCGTTGATAATAGATGACAGTCGTGCGAACAGTGGATCAGATTAAGTCTAATTATTTATAATCAGGTATTAATCACTACATTGTAAAAAATTCATATTAATATGTTGTAACATCGCTTAATCTTACTTAGTATCATAACTTTTATCCCAGCTTCACTGAGGATGACCCAAAAACGGGTCGAAACGTTTGGATCTTTTAATAAAGTGTGTTTTTTCAAAAAACATCGATAATTTCGCACGGACACCTGCTGGAGGCTCGCATTGGCCATTTCTCCCTACCTACTTTTATTACTTTTGTCGCAATATTTTTCTATTAATGTTTTAATATTTTATTAATTTTTTTGCAGATTAGTCTGCAGATATTTTACAGTTTACTCTTGGCGCGGGAGACTTTCAGAGAAACTTATTTTTTATTTTCCGGTCTTCTATCTCAATTTACGGAATTGTCCTTTCGGAACAATGTTTGGTACAACTAGAACAATCTATAGCCACAAGAAAATCTTCGATTTTTTGAAAAGGATGTGCTGGCAAAAAAATTGTTTTTTTTTAAATTTTTTTTGTAAACCAGTTGCGATATGAGATTCATACTGCAGAACTATGTTTCGTAGGCTTAGAACAACTCAGAACAAAAAGGTATGTATGACACGGCTATGTTTAATTTCTTCCGGCGAGTATTTCGATTTGGTAGTGGACAATGAACTTCTTATATGTTCAACTTTCAAGGCTTCTTGAGCAATACATCAACTGACCTCTTTTACTGGATTGTATAGCATCGCTCACGGGCGCCCAGTTACTCGCGGGCAATAGCTGAGCATGCTGGGCGATAGTGGGGAGAAAATATTGGGCAATAGTGAGAAGAAAGTATCGAGAAGTGAGAAAGAGTCCACGTAGATCGGATTTTGTTTCATCCCTAATTAGATTTAAAGTATCTCCTCCTTTTTCCATGAACATTCTAGTTGGAAGAATAGATTTTAATATAGCAAAAAGCATTGTTAAGTTTGTTAATGAATCTAATATGGTAATCTAAGTCATTACATAAACACATAAACATTATTTTGCCGGATCCTCACGGGGTGACTTTCTGGGGCATGGTGATATCTTGCTGATGAAGCCATATGTGTCACACTGAGGCCTATCTTCAGACTTCTATGGAAGTTTGATAGTATGGGAATCTATTCACCATCATTATCAAGAAAAGAAGCAGGGCTCCTTCCCCCCGAGGAGACCTGATGCTGGATCAACAGATCTAACAATAAGTCGCATGGTACTGTGACTCACGTCTGAGTCGGATCACCACATCGGGGTTTTTGAAGAAGAAGAAGAAGAAGTGAGAAAGAGCATAGATCGTCACGCTTGAGTGTAAGGTATGGTGGGGCGTTGATTGAAATGGGAGTATGCCTAGCAACTGGGCGCCCGCAGATGCCCGATATCGGCATTTTGCCCATCCCTGCGTTACTCTATAGAGGAGTTATAACTCTCAAATCGAGCATATTGCAAGACTTAATAACTATATTCATTTTAAATTGTATGATTTTCCACCAGAAGTAAGCCAAGGTTCCGGATAGACAATAGCGTCGATACATATGCTGATATATATGTAAATGTATAATTATAAGCATATTTGTGTCTGATTTGTATAATTTTCTTACATTACTTAAGATATTTTAAGAGCTCTGACATTATATGTACAAGGTTTAATTTCTATAATCCAATTGAACTTCTCATCGAAATACGACGATCAACACGTTATACGTACTTTATGTGTTTCGTGTAACCTTTACATATATTTTATGTCATGACGCAATTCCGGGACGAAGTGTAATCGTGCGACTTCGTCGATTGTCGGAATGGAAAGTATCGCTGATGATAACACATCGGCGACGATTCTTCTGGGAATCGCCGCTGAGATCACTCTCTACTCGAGAGTCTCGAGTCAACCGTTAATATTATCGATACGTGACACGTACCGGAGACATCGGTAGACGAATAAAGAAAGACAAATATTAATACCAAGTTCTCGAATTATTTACCGCTCACCAAGTGTCGTGGCCATCAGCATTATAAACTTGAGGCAGCTGCTTTGACTTGTTTCTTCCGTGGAAAACCCGAGAACTGCGCAAGATTGAACATTATATGTTCAGTCTTGCAGCATTTGGATTATTCACATCTAGAGATTCTACGCTTTGTAAGTCTTCTTAAAAATTCTTCATTATATGTGTGTGTTTTTAATGATTTTATTGCATATTTGCTCCTAGTTATAGTAGTCTATTCACTGTTTTAATCGTATAAAGAATTTACCTCGCAAAATGAATATAAACTTGACATAAAGATGTTTTTAAACAAGAAACGTATAATTATGGAATTATTCGCAGAATTATTCATTAAAAAACATGTTATTCTACCTGCTCAGTGCATTCAGCATTGCAACATTTGGATCATTCGCAACTGGAGAATCTACGCTTCGTAAGTTTTCTTTAAAATTCTTTATTGTTTCGAATAATTTTACTGCACATCCGCTTCTAGTAACAATTTAGACTTGACACATTTCAAAGATGAAACATCTATTCTGAAGTAATATTTAATATAATATAATATAATAATTATGATGTGCATAAAAGTAAAATGTAATGCAAAACCGTATGTTTATCGCGATCAGTTTTGCTGAAATACTTAAATATTACAATAATTGTCTTTCTATTTCCACTAATCGTTTTGTTATAAAAAGTTACTCCCTCTGATTTCATGTTATTCTTTTCCTAAGCAGTTACAACAACAATTCTCATTTATATTTTTGAGTAAACATTTTATATGTATATAAGTCAAGAATACTGTAAATTATAGACGCAATTTTATTTAATACGTTAAAGAGAAAAGAGTAGAACAGGATTATTTTAAATCCTTACAATATGGACATCTGATAATACTATATATTCGTATTTGACAAAAATATAATTTTAAATTATATCTTGAATTATATCGTATTTTGTAAGAACAATTACTGCATTTATACTTTTATTATTATTCCGTATTATTCTATTTTTATTTCTCAATAAGAAATAAGATAGCCAATATAGTCCGAGCAGGATGTAGATAACCCAATAATTTTGTGTAACATATGTGTTTATATACCGTTTTCCAACTCGTCCTGCGCGCCACTACTTTCAGTTTTATGACACAGTTTTGTTAGGTGGAATATTGTCGTCAGTAAATTCACATGTTTTTTGAAACGATAAACGATTTAATTGTTTTGATGCTTACTTATATCTATTGCTATTTCTTTTCAGCTATAACTACTTGCAAGCGCAATTCAGTCGATTATTCCGCCTGTTTAACACACTTTTTGAAAGAAACTTGGTCACAATTTATTCCAGGTAATCTCAATAAAAAGTTATAAGCATTTTATTATTTAAATTTATAATTCTCTTAAATAAAATATATACAATATTTTATACATGCAATACTTGTTAACATTAACAATAAATAAAGTTCCATAAATTTTTGAATATTAAAATTTCTTTTTGAAACGTTTAAAGAAGATTAAAGTTTCTTTAATCAAATCGTTTAAAAATATGGTTATTAATATGGTTTAATTATTTTTGGTAGGACTGCCAGAATTGAACTTTCCAACTCTGGATCCATTAAATTACGAACACGGTGCAGCAGAATTCAAATCAGGCGAGATAGATGCAAAAGTTGTTTTATCAAATACTACTGCTACAGGCTTATCAAAAGTTCGTTTTTATGATGTAAGAACGTATTTTCATGATGACAAATTCCGTTTGGAAATCGACATACAAATATCAAACCTATACGTGAAAGGGGACGTGAAAATAGATGGCACTGTAGGGATATTTAAAATTATTAACGATGGTACGGTAATAAGTTCTACGCAGTCTGCGTAAACAAAGATATATCGTTAATTTTGTTAGATACATATGCATTATTTACGATGTGATAAAAGATTTGTTATATGTGTGTGCATATATGTATATACAATAAACTGTAGCTTTTTATAAAAAGAAGTATTAACACCTATTTTGTTACACTCTGGTTATTAGTCAATTAAAATAATTATTAAATATTTTAATTGACTAATAATGAGGGTGTAACAAACCAGATTTTGTGTGTGTTTATGTACTGCGCATCTAAACCTATTTTTATACATATAATCTAAAATTTATTTTTATTGGTTTATAGAGAAAGTATTTTTAAAAAACATGGAAATAATGATTTTTCAATTATATATGTTTTTCTTACTAAAAAAAACTGATATATTATAGTTTATATTATATTATTATTTATGTAACAGGTCATTTCAATTCAACCATTGGTGATATCAAAGGAACATGGGATATAACAGGACGTGTAGTAAATGATACAGGGATTGTAGAAAATGTTCGAACATTTCCGTCAATTGGAAAGTTTAATATATATTTTGATAATTTATTCCAAGGTAACAAAGAGTTGAGTAAGTATTAAACTAATTCCAGATATAATTCCAGTTTTTTAAATGTTTTATTCAATATGCAATATTTAATCGAATTATTCAATTAAAGACGCATAATTTACCGTCAAAATTTATGTAATTCTTGTTACTTATAACATAGAAGTTTGTCTAAATTAATTAAGAAAAACTAATAATCTGTAACTTATACACGTTATACGTATATAATTAAAAATAGTTATAATATGTTATTCTAATGTAACATAAATTTAAAAATATATATAATTAATTAATTAATTGACTTAAACAATAGTAGAATCGTTGAAATATATGACTTTATAAGTTGAAATCGTATTTCATTATCTTTTAACTCAATGGTTCTATTTATTTTGCTATTTTTAAACAGAACATTACAGAATAAAATTTATTTATTAATTATTTATTTGAACATAATGATATTTATATGGTAATCTTATTTGTTTTTTTTAATCATGTTTTGTAGCAATTTTTATTTTCAGACAATCTTGCTGTAATTTTTATAAACGAGTTCTGGCCACCGTTATATCGAGTGATGTTGCCAATAGTAGCCAATATATGGGATCCATGGTTGGCTGACATCATCAATAAGATTTTCTCAAAAGTTCCCTTCTCAAAAATGTTTCCGTGAAATGCGTACATTTATCACACGTTTAAACATATCAACAAATACGAATAACAGAGAAATTATACCATATAATAAAAAGCAAGCTCAATTTATACCGTGCGGAAAAATTTTTTCAGTTTTATATGTCTTAAACTTAAACGAGACAAGAGGAGAGAAATAAAAAACTTGCAGCTAATCACTAAATAACTATGACAATAAGTGAAGTAGGAACACATGTACTTACACAGTAATATATCAAGCCGAATCGAACCAAAAGCGCTGTGCGACTGCGGAAACATCACAAAGTAAAATCCAAGAGTAGTTTATGCTATTAATTCTTTTGTGTTCTTTTACTTACAATTAGTCGCAACGTCTTTGAGTTGTCTTTGACGCAATAGCCTTTGTATATTGATAAATAATAAGTATCTTTTTTAACCATAATTAACACGCGCACCAAATTTCTTTTAAAGACTGGAAGGCCTGACAAAATATTTACTTTTGATTGTAATAAAATTCCAACATGTCGCACATCATATATGCAAAATTTTGCAACTTTAACTGCAACTTTCTTAAAATTGTGACGTGATGAAACAATGTGATAAATGAGATCATATTCAACCTTAAAAAGGTTAGGGAACACGATTGTTCTCCTTATTTTACTTGCTTTTTCTTATATGGAAGAAAGTAATTTTTGGTTGAACGGCGTAACCACATACACAGTCTCTCGTGCTATTTTCTTCTTTTCAATTAATATATTACAATCAGAGAGAGCGTGTAAAACTTTGCTCGATCAATTTACACTGAAAATCCGATATATGTACGGATGCAGAGATCATACAATTTTCAATTGCAAGAGAATTAAGGTCTTTTTTGCATATAGCATAGCTCCTCAATCCGAACGCATTAGTTTTGTATCACTGTATCTCTACACTGAGAAAAATGTCCGATTAAATATACTTAATTGGATAATCCAATTACATGATAACAAACGGATATATCCGATTAAATTGTATATCCAATAAAAAATGTGATCGGTTTTTCAAATAAATTTCATCGGTAATTGCATTTTATCGGATAAATTTCATCGGATATATCCATAATTTAATCGGACAACGTAATCGATAAACTTAATACTTTTGCTCGCCAGTAATAAAATAACCAAACCTTCCCAAATAATGCTAGTTACGTCGAGTGAAAATTGTATTATTTAACATTAATAAAATAATGCCAGTTGCGTCGAGTGAAAATTGAAGGTTTGGTAATCGGAAAAATTAACCATTGGACACACTATTTAATTGGTTTATCCGATGAAAAATTTTCTCAGTGTAGAAGAGATTCGAAAGAATGAAGCATGTGTATGAAGAGAGTAGAATACGACAAGTCTGAGGGGAAAATAAAGGGGCACCGAATTTGTTGCGGACGGAAGTCAGGAAGAGAAAGTTAAAATACGCGCCTAGAACGCGAGTTGTTCAACTTTCGCATCAGAGAATTCTTTCCGAGCCTCCCAGAATATCCGTAATAAAGTTATAAACTTTTAGGAAGGGCCATACCACACCTTCGTTGTATAACTGCTTACTCCGAGTTCCTCGTAGAACCCAACGGCCAAACTAAATTTCGCTTTTTTTCGAGTACCGATAACTGAATCTATAATCCAGTGGACAAGTTTCTTTTACGAACTGATGAGCCGATTTAATTACGTAGTGAATGTGTCAATACCATGAAGAAGAACCAATTCGCGAAATACTACATGTACGCGAAAATAGAAAAGGATAAATTAGCATAGGATTTATTTATAGCATACAATAATTGTATGTCTGTTATTTGCCTGAATCCAGTAACATTTGCAGACTGTTTCAATCCAGTGATTGAATTCTATTTATTAGACTAAGCAAGATACACTGATTATAAATAATGTTTTAGTTATAATTGTTTAATGTTGAAATTTTATTTGTAAATTTTTCCTTATTGTTAATAGGTTGTTAATATTTCATATTTCATAAATATTTCATAAATTAAATTATGCCGTATCGAATTAATAAATTAATTAACATTCATATTTTATTATAAGATACTTTACATTATATAGACAGTAAAGCAGCTTCGGTACGAATGGAAATATAATCGGTGTAAAAATCCCAACGATATTTGTATAAGTAAAATGTCCCATTTATAAAACATGATTGTCGTATTAAAGCGCTGGTCAATCCCATCGTAAATATCGAGATTAACGTTTTTCAGTTAATAAAAATGTTTAGTGTATAATTGCTGAGGCAGACGTGTCCGATTCGCGTGCATTTTCTGATGCGATAGTAATCTTTTGAGCGCAATTTAGCTATCTGGTAATTATTTAGTTTCACAGCATGTATAATTAAAGCGACTTAATTACACTCTCGACAGTGTACTCCGTCATTTTATCATTTTGTATTTTATTAAATTACTACATCAGCAAAGGTTACACTACTTATGTATTTATATACAAAGTTATGTATTACGACTTTAATTTAAATGTTAAAATTATATAACAAATGAGAAATATTCAAGACCAACTAAAGTAAATTGTTTAAAATACTCACGCTCAGACTTTGTTCAAAATACAGATGCAAAAATGGTAGCATGTTTCTGCATACCTAATGCAATATTGATTATACCAATGTATATACAATATATGAATTGATCAATATTATTATTACAGAATGGCGCACACAAAACCGGTCCCAAAGAATTTTTTGTTACTGTGTTTTGCGTTTGCAATCGATTTTATATGCGCCACCTCGTGTTATTCAAAACAATTCATAATTATTGCATGTTTTAAATGGATGCATATATTAAGCTAAGCTGGAGAGAGAGAGAGAGAGAGAGAGAGAGAGAGAGAGAGAGAGAGAGAGATCGTTTTTAACATCTAAATTCTAAAGTGAAATAGTAATAGTCAACTCTATATACAATATCAGCAATACATAACAATACATATTTAACTATAAGAAAGCTTGACGTACAGATATAAAACGGAAAGTTATCAAGTCTCTTTAAAATCTACTTACGCATGCACACGCATGCTCGTCAAAAGTTATAAATTTTTGGTTGGAAGTTTGCGCGTTACCATAAATTTTTACGTTCAATCTCGTGACTTCGAACTTTATAGACTTGAAATGCTTGAAGAGAGCGCCAGCTTTAGTAGAAATCATATAACGCCTCCGGTTCATGTACAGAAGCCAGTATATACACGCGCGAAGTTACAAATTTCAACGCGAATGGCAACCTACGGCCATCAATCTTCGCGGGCATCTGAGCGACTTGAAATTTTAAGGTTCTCAAAGCGTCATCAGCAAAAACTCGTGCAATTAATTCGATTCGTCGATCTGGAAGTGTACAGCTCCGCGAAATTACGAATCCGATAAAGACACTACTTACTCTATTGTTACTATCGTTACCAGCAATTATCGTACATCGCGAAAATTTTCAGTCTTTATGGAGAATAAACAAATTTGATAAATTCACAAATCTGTCGACTGTGTATAAGTTCAGTCAATCCTAAAAATGGATATATAAAATAAAACATATATATATATATATATTGTATGTATCAAAATAAACATATAAATGATTTATTTCTGACAAAATAGAATAAAAATTGTAAGAAAATTAAATGCTTGTACAAATGTTGTGTAAATATCTTCATCATGCAAATTCCATGACACGACAACCCTGGGCTCGTATTACATCACTTTCGACAAGCGGAGCTCAGATTAATAAAACCGATATTCCGCCGTGATGGAAACCGTCAAGTTCCGCCACGCAACTGAATAAATCACAAATACACGACTACCTGTGGAGACCCGCGTTAATGCCCGCTACGCGTGACGAGATGCAATTAATCCATGATAAGTGCAATTAATTTAGAGTGATTTTCTTTGCACGGTAACCGTACCGAATTAAATCTGGCGTGATTCATCACGCTGACAGGAAAAAAAACTAAAAAGATAAAAATATGAAGAGAATCGAGCGCGAAAGGCGGGAGAGGAGACTCCGTACCTCCCTTCATATCGAACGAGGCGAACCAGAATGCAGAGGTGCGCACGTGGACGGGAACATCGATCGTGTGTCGGCCGGCGAAGTCGGTAGACGCGTGAATCTCAATTTGCCGGCTGGTCCCCGTGGACACGTGCCTCCACGTGTATTCGGCGAACATTTACATAAGGTGTACGCGGTAACACGCCGATGCGCTCCCCCTGTGACGGGAGAGACGGCAGCATCCCCATCCACTTTTCGAGAGATTAACTCTATAGCTCAAAACGAGGCTAACGATTTACGCCTAGATTTATGTCTAGTACTCGATCTTCAACTAATGGCGGAATTTTACCACCGATAAACTCTAATTAAACAAAGAAATACCTATTACTTCACGAAATTTAAAATAAAAGTGGAAGTATGCGGTTCGCATATGTTACACAAACGGCTCTTTTCTTCCCAAGTTACTAAATGACATCGATGCTCGTCTTCCTAAGACAAGTCACTTGAACGAATTCTTTCGGCGAAGTATCGTCTTTAAGAACTTAGGTTCTTCTTTCCCTTCGAGTTTTTGCGTGTACAAAATAGTTAGAGAATTATAGGGAGAGATGCCAACAGTGCAGCAATACTCGATTGGGCGGGGTATCGTTGCGAAAGCTCCGCCGGCACGGCATGGCTAATTAATCAAGCTTTTACAGTCATCGTTCAGTTGAGCCCTCGACCGCCGTTCAGTTTACCAGCATTCTCTCTCTTTCTTTCTCCCTTTCTCTTGCTTTTTTTGTTGATCCATCTCGCTCCGAGATTCATGCTTGACCTTTCACGGACCATCGACGGAAGGGAGACAGAGAACACGCCATTCGCCTTTGTACCATTTGCCGAGTTGCTCGTGCGATCTTGCAACCGCATAAATTATTCATGTCGCGATTAATGCGGTTAAATATTTAGGTACTCCGTTATTCTTTCACTTTAGCACGTCGCGCCTCCGTGGGTGCGAAGCACGGGGATTACCACGGACTGCCGCGCCTCGCGCAAACAAATTTCCGCGAAGAGTCGTCCCGACGCACAGCCGGCGACGTCCTTAATTGGTGCTAATTAGACGGTTATACGTTAAACGCGCGGGCGTCGCGAACGCGTTTTCTCCCGCGCATAAAGGTAGTATAGTACGCCGATGGCGTTGCTACATTTTCAATGAATAATATAATAAATACGGTATAAAAATTCCTTTTAATTCTGCCACGTGTTATTCTTTATTTCTCCGAACAACAACTACTTGTTTATGAGAAGCAATGAA